GGAGCTTTAACCAGGGTAAAGATGTAATATGGTGTGTTTTCTTTTTAGGTAAATTAAACTAGATACAGTATAAGGTTGGGGCATGGATCTGGAACTACTTTTATTAAGAATGTTATTAGAAGATCTTGAGAATATTGTACACTATGAAAGTAATATGATAGTAGCCATATTATATACTAAAATACGTACATGAATGGTTTGAATGTTTGAAAGATGTCTGGAATTTGGGGGGACAACTGGGAAGACACTGAGATGTAAAAAAACAAATAATTGTAAGCAAATCATGTAACACGATGTTTGACCAGCACAAATCAAATGTAGATAGAGTGAAAAACTAATAAAATGTTTTTTAAAAAAAGACTTGAAATTTGATCGCCCTGTTGTCATAAAATTTATGTAGAAATATGTCTGTTATGTAATGACAAGTGTCCTATTGGGCAGTTCTGCCTACAGAATGAGAATGTCATCGTCATCACCAATTTATTGCCTCTGACTGAAGGTTTCCTTTTTTTATTTTAGGGTGCACAATGAGACAAAGTCACATGCACTCAGATATTGAAGAAAGAAGTCTTTAATCAATGACAGTTTGCTGCTGGTGGGAGCTGCAAAAACTGGAAACAAATTATACCCATTAATTGCTGGCAGCAGTAGTTTGATAGCATGAATAAAATATAAAAATTTGGAATAAGAAACCAATTTTTCAAGAAGGCTGCAGAAATTTGTACAGCAAAAAAACAAACTTAGCAGTGTGAACCTAACAAAACCAAACTGTTATAGGCCAGCAATACCTTTGGAATTTTGGTTAGTTCCTTAAAAAAAGTATTGCCTGCCTGTGGATTTTGGTTTGGTTTGGAAATCAGAGTTTTACCTTTCTGCTACCTCACTGCCTATGATATGACAGTCACCACTGGAACTTTTAAAAAGCTAAGGAGTCATAAACTATTTATTTAAATGTGTTTTATTTTCTTTTATTTTTTTTTTATTTTTTTTATTTTTTGCTTTCCCTGAGAGATCTTTTCTGAAGAGTCTGGCTGTCAAGGCATTTGTGTTAGTGTTTAGCCTCAGGTCAGTCATTAGTTGTACAGTGGTGCCTCACAAGACAAATGCCTCACAGATGAAAAACCCGCAAGATGAATGGTTTTTGCGATCGCCGTGGTGCCTCACAAGACGGCTTCTTCTATGGCCGTGCTTCTCAAGATGGTTTTTTCCCCAAGACTGATGCCTCGCAAGATGAAAAAATTTCATTCATTGCAATGCATTCCTATGGGAAACCGCTTTTCGCAAAATGATTTTTTCACAAGACAGTGCTACTTGCGGAACGAATTACATTCATCTTGCAAGGCACCACTGTACTTACTTTCCTTCAAAAAGATGCTGTTTGAGTAAAATATAGAGCAGGGGTCTCAAACATGCAGCCCGGGGGGCCATTTGTGGCCCACCAGAGAATAGTTTGCGCCCCCCGTCTTACCTGCCCCCCCTGAAGCACCCATGCGTCCTCTGCTATCAAGAATTTAAAAAAAAGCCTAGCCTCGCTCGCTGGCTCTCTCCCAAGACAGCGCCTCTTGCACCCTCCATCCGGAACTGCAGCTGGCCAGCCAGCGCGCCCAAGCTGCTGCTGAGCGATGCCTGAGAGCGGAGCTCGCTCCTGGCCCGTCCTCGAAGAGCGCCTCCAATAGCACCGCCAGCAGCCACCGCCGCCGACGCCTCTTCCAGGAAGCAGCTCTCTGGCTCTCTTTCTCTCTTGGCATCCCCAGCACCAGCCCGGCCAGCAGCCGCCTCAGCACCCAGTAGTGTTTCCTCTTCCTCCTCCTCCTCTTCGTCCTGCTTCAGCCGCCTCCTCTGGAGGCGGCTTGAGCTCGCCTCACAAAGTTTGCTCCTCTGTCATGGTGGGGTAGCTGCGGCTGCTGAGTGTGCCTTTTTTGAGGGGGGCCCTCAGAGGAAAGTTGCCGGACCTCCATGTGTGTGTTTGTGTGCGCGTGTGCGCACACACGCCTGTGGGGGGATCCACTCCATTCTGTTTCATTTCGCAGGTACTGATGGGGGCTTTTCTCCTTTGGCAAGGCGATTCTATCAGGGTTTTTTTAAAATTTTATGTCATGCCCTCCTCTCCCCCTCTCCCCGGCTAGACAGTTGCTGGTGCTCCCTCCCTTCTCTGCTTCTTCTTTTTCCTGCTGCTGCTGGTGGTAGTGAAGGAGCTGGAGGGGCTCGTGGTCGGGACAAGGGCTTTACATGCTCCTCCTCAGAGCCCCAGCCAGGCTAAGGAAACTCCTGGGCGGCTTCCTTGGGCTCTTGCTCCACTTGACGGTAAATCTGATGTGGCCCAGCCTTACCCAGACTCTGCCTCCAGCGGCCCCCAGGTAAATTGAGTTTGAGACCCCTGATATAGAGAATACTTTGAGGAAAGGAACATTTCAGCCCAAGCCAGCATTCTAAAGCATACAACTCCTGTTCCCCCCCCGCTCCCCAAGAAGATAACTATGTGGTTTGTTAGACAGCTGAGAGGGTCCTCCTGAACTGGACCCACTGTTGCCAGTCTTAAATCCAAAATCCCCAAGCAAATCTTGCCTTGGGCTGCAGACTCAAATGCTCCTTTCCCATAAATTTGGTCCATATCCAGACAATGAGTTCTCCACCTCTGAGAAACATGCAATAGATTGCTGTTCAAACCTACATTTTATGATCACAACTCACATATCCATGATTACAATTTGTATATCTTAATTATTTTAACATGTTATCTGTACAAAATAGAAAAGTTTGACAGGATCCCTAATACGTCAGGCTGGGGAAACCTAGCATATTAAATTTGCTTGTTGTAGTAACGGTCTCCTGCACGTAGTTTTCTTTTATGTTGCCTGTAGAATTGAATAATGCATATTCAAAAATAAATATTCTGCCATGATGTGTGGTTTTAAAAAGGGAGATTTTTTTCTTACTGTGCTAATCTTATCTTTGTGTTTTCCCTTTCCTTACTCACCGAGTGACAAATCTGCAACTCTTTTCTTGTTTTCTCTTATCTAGTTCTCATTATACCATGAATAAACAGCACAGAAATATTTTTGTTAGGCTTGCAGTTTCTGTAGCTTCAGTCTCAGTTGTGTGGATCACCAAATGTGATTTTAAAAAAGAAGTAATGGCAGAAGGAAATATCATTGCAGGATGAATGTAATATATAGTTGAATGGTGCATGCAAGCTGGCCTCTGTTTGATCCTGTGAGAATGTGGGGGTTAATGTCTGGCTGGTGTTTTGGAAGCAGCAGGTAGCCAAGAGTAAACCCCTATAGGGGTCCAGATTTCTGTAGCCACATAGTTATTCACACAGATGGGGGATACCTTGTGAACTTTCACTGAGGTCATGCTAAACTGCAAATCATATTTTGAAATATCTAAAGTCTCAGGTATGAGATACCTTAAGGCTGTAAGCATTGCAGCTGTTAATTCACTTGATGGAGAAGGATTTTTTGCACTTCAGAAATCTGACTTAGAGATAGCTTAAAACTGCTTTATTATAGAACAAAGGAAAATCTATGCCTATATAATTAATTTACATCCTAAAATATTTTGATTATACCGGCTTTTTCATGTCGTATATCATCTTTTCTTTGAACTATCTTAAATGGACTTTCATCAAGACTGAAAGAATAACAAAAACTTGCAGTTTGTCTTCCACATACAATTTGGAATGAATTAAAATATGTGAAATCAGTCTTGGAGCCATCAATAGATGTGTAGAGAAGCCTATCATCAGTCATCAGCTATCATCTCACCAGGGATGTTAAGGGAGGGGGAGAAATACCATGTGGATTATTCTGGGTACCTCTCATTGTAGTCTGCAATACATTATTGTGTTGATTCAGAGAACACATGGGGCTCTGTGTTTAGAACTTCTAAATTCATAGCTGAAATAAAAATCTTACATAAATACATAAATATTTTTTAGGCAGCTTTCTTATTCACAGTGTACTTATATTTTACTTCCTTAGTGTTTCTCTGGGATTTTTGTAAATTTAAAATTTTTTAATATTCATTAACACTAAACACTCTCTCTGGAGGCAAAAAATGAGGAAGCTGAGGCTGTCCTATTCTGGGTACATCGTGAGAAGGCAGGATTCTCTGGAAAAGACATTAATGCTGGGAAAGGTGGAAGGTAGCAGGAAAAGGGGGAGACCAAATATGAGATGAAATTACTCCCTGCAGGCACCACAGGCCTGAGGTTACAAAGTTGAGGACAGGACATTTTGGAGATCACTCATTCATAGGGTTGTCATAATTCAAAGTTTACTTCATGGCACGTAACAACAGCAAATATGGATTATGTTTGTTTAATTAGCTGGTTGGATACATCAATGATTTAGTTATCCAGAGGCTGGGATTTTGATTTCCCACTGTGCCTCCTGGGAGAAGAGCCAGTCTGGAAGGGCTGCACAGTCCCACAGTGCCTCCAGAAAAAGGGAGTGTATTGTTTATCTAGAAACCCTGGAAAGGGTTGCCAAAAGTTGGAATCAGCCTGACAGCACCACTATGATTATTGGTTCAATTAACATGCAGTTAAATCCTTGAAAGATAATTTGTCTGGAGAGCTTGGTTTAATTTTTTTAAAGCTGAATTAAAGAATGTAATTTCCAAAGTTACTAGGAGATGTGGAAATTGATTAAGCTTAATCAGATGCCCACCTTCTCATAGCATAATGAGGCATGAAGTATTCTAGAAACTTATTCTGAGTTGTACAAGTGAGCTAAAGGTTGTCTCTCAGTGTTTCCATACTGGTGAACAGAAAGAAGGAAAGAAAACACATTGCAGAGGGAATACTTTATTTTTTTTACTTGTAATGAAGATGGAAATGTTGGTTAAAATTCCTGAAACTTTTTTGCATTATTGGGTTGCCTTTTTTTGTTCATCCATCCCAAGCAACAAGTGCCTTCCAAATGCATTTGCATAATATGTCCAGATGTCTTAAGGGGACATTCGTCTGACATAAGTGAATGTTATTTTACTTTCAGGTGTAGCTCATAATATTGCCTTACTGCGTGAAGTGATAACACATCCGCGCTTCATCCAGGGAGACATCAACACTAAATTTCTTCCTGAAGTATATCCTGAAGGCTTTAAAGGTAGGTTGTGATATTACATCTTGGGAGAAAAATAAGACTATGAAATTTTTATTTAGATGTGAAATAGACATGATCTTTTGAGAACGTGCATTCAAATTGACTTCGAGTTAGAGTTAAATTTTACTTTTATACTGACAAATTCTAAATGATTTTGTAACTCAGGCAATTTCCTATGGCCCCATATAAGTCTCACTTCTCTTCTGTGGTGATAATACATTGGTAATATAGTGAGGATCACTGTTCGTTTAATTGTTGACAATATGTATGAAAAAATATCCTGATAAGTTGAAAAACAGAATCTTGGAGTTCCGTTGTTTGTCCAATCTAACATTGAAGCAAGTAGTATAAGTGGTTTTATGTATTGTTGTTTGATCATGATCAACTTCTTTACTTCCATATTGTAAAAAGTGCTGCAGAAATTTTTATATTATATAAATATATTTTATATATTATATAATAATATAAAATATTGTATAAAATATTAATAATATTTTCTGGATTAAAAAGGTGATTAGCTGGTTTTGAGACACTGCTTCATGCTGCAGTTTTACGTTACAGTCAGCAGTTAAAACTGTAAGACATGATTGAACGCATAACATTATTGAGGAGTCATTAATTCTGAATAATGGTTCAGATTCTTAGAGCTAGTTTGAAACTTGGAAAGCTTTTCTGAGAAATGTTTTGCTACACTCAGTCCTCACATATATTTCAAATAAATAAACATCTATCGTGAAGATCTCTGATTTCATCCATGTAGGTACTACATCACGCTAATGGCTGCTGTGGTTGTGGCCAAGCCTCTCAGTATTTAGCTAAATTTATTTTTGGATGATAGGCAGAGTTCTCTGTAGCTGTAATAAAAGCCTTGTTCAGCCACTAGGATCTGCCAGAACTTGCACTCAACTTGTATAGCTTTACAGAACACGAAGTCCCCTCCATGTTCATCTTCATGCCGTGATGAGAAGGTGAATCATGATTTTCTGGAGACGGGCTTGTGTAATACTATTTATTAAGCACCCAGTAGGTTCTGTATAGTACGATTTATCAAATAAAGATAGGAGTCCTAGCTGCATAAGTCAAATTATATAATTGTGGAGTTGGAAGTAAAGATTGGGATATTCGTATTTGTATACAAATACTAATATTCCCACACAACTGGACTTAATGAGAGTCCAGCCTCTGGGGCTGGACTGTCCACTCACATGTCTGGTGGCTTCAGTGGCCCCGCTCATCCTTTCAATCGCTCCTGGAGCGCCACTTTCTTCCCACTCAGCTGGCCACTTAGCAGCTGTGCAAGGAGATTTGTCTTCCCTCCTGCTGCCTGGAGTGGCTAGCTGAGTGAGAAGAGAGCAGGGCTCCAGGAGCGATTGGAAGGATGAGCAGAGCCACCGCTGCCAGATGCGTGAGTGGACAGTCCAGCCCCAGGGACCAGACCCTTTTGAAGTCCAGCTGTGTGAGGATATTCATATTCATATGTGAATACAAATACCCGCATCTCTAGTTGAAGGAATCAAAAAAGCCTTCTACTGGAAGCACATGACTGTAAACCACTATATACACACACACACACACACACACACACACACACACACACACACACATGTATATATATATATATATATGTGTGTGTGTGTGTGTGTATATATATGTGTATATATATGTGTATATATATGTGTGTGTGTGTGTGTGTGTATATATATATATATGTGTGTGTGTGTGTATATATATATATACACACACACACATATACAGTGGGGTCTCGACTTACGAACGGCTCGACATACGAACGTTTCGACTTATGAACCGCTCTCATAGGAATATATGGACTCGACTTACGAACTTAGATTCGAGTTACGAACTCTTCTTTTTCCTTTTTTTTAAAGCTAAGTCATCTTAGGTTAAAAGGAAAAAAGAAAAAAATATCCCCCTCTAGTGGCAGAAGGCAGAATAGCAGCTTCCCATTAGTTTCTATGGACGAAAAGAGCAGATACGGATTAAATGGTTTTCAATGCATTCCTATGGGAAATGCAGATTCAACTAGTGTGGTATTTTATTCTTTTTCAATATGTCTATATATAGTACTGTTTTTTTAGCTTTTAAATGTTGTCTTTTAGTGACATAAGCTGCCTTGGGTCTTTTTTAAGGAGAAAAGTGAGGTGAATATGTGTGTGTGTGTGTGTGTGTGTGTACATATACACACACACATATAGTATGTATGTATGTATGTATGTATGTATGTATGTATGTATGTATGTATGTATGTATGTATGTATATATACATATATATATATACACAAGACCATGTCTCGTTTCTTATGAAGATGAGGACTCTGAGAATCAACAATTCATTTTATGCTTGAAAATATGGTATCTGCTTATGTGGGTCTTCTATAGTACAAAGTACCCATGTGTTAGAAAAAAATAAGATTTTTAAAATTCAATGATCAATAAAATATACATTTTAAAGCAACTTCTCTTAATTCTGTGAAATATCTTGACAGCTTTCTTATTAACCTTTGCTGGCAACTTTTAATCACATTTTTACTTGAAGTGAATTACTTGACACATATGTTCAGACTTATTTTCAAATCTATATGTTCCTCATGTGTCAGCTTTCATCAAGACACAGAAAGCTGCCTTTTTTTTAAGGCACTATTTTTTTGTGGCTTGCATACTGTAATTATAGGTTTTTCCATTGGCTTCTGTATCTTGTAATACTATATATCATGTGACTGTAAGATTCTGTATCCTTTAAATACTATATTTTTCTGTGTATAAGACGAGCCCCAGTTTTCCAACCCCGAATAAGAACATTTGATCGCTGCTTTCCCCCTCCATTTCCTAAGCCCCGCGAAAGCAGGATCAAAGGGCTGCAGAAGTGGAGGAGGAAAGCAGCCAGGTCTTTTGATCCTGCAGCCCATTCATGGCTGCTTTCACCCCTGTGGAGCTTAGGAATTAGCAGGGAAAGCAGCGATCAAAGGATTGCAGGATCAAAGAGCTACATTTCCTGCATTCTGACTGGTGTCTTTCCTCTCTTCACTAAAATTCGTTTCTCTATTGGTTGATGATGTGTAAGGAGAAAATGTGTATTGGACTATATTTGTTTACTACCCAGAATGAGAAGCAAGTGATGTTTTTGCATCTTATCAGGCACATGGAGCCATTGAAAGTATCTGGCTTTGTAGTTTGGCTGTACTATTCCATTGTTTCTCAGTCTGGCCAAGACTTGGTTGTAACAACAACCATCTTTTTGTCTTTTTGCTCATTCCTAAATGATAATGTCTAAGCTGAGAGAAATCCTCTGCCCTCTTTTCTAACAAGAAACAGTCACATTGTTTATGAAAGAAGCCAACAATTTTCTTCTTTCCATTGTGTAGGTAGTCCATCCCATTCCATGTCGTAGGTCTGTAGTCCACTCTATTGGCTATATATCTGTAGCCCAGTTTAGTTCATATGTCTATATGCTTTATTACCAGAATACCCTTAGTTTCTAACAGTAGGACCTGTTAATGCAACACTATTAGCAAGAGGGAAACTTCCCTTCTGTAGAACAGAGATGGTTAATGGGCAGTCAGTGGTTAGTGTTGCCCTTAATAGATTCCCTTTGTGCTCTGAGTTTCATAGAAGCCCTGCATAAATCTCATGTCTCCCACGAAGCATTGGGGCAACTTCCGTTTGTAACAGAAGCTAGGCTATGAAGTTAGGCCATGAAGTTTTGAAGTAAGCTTTTCTCCACGTGAGCCGTATGTAGGTCTCTGTAGGTTGGAAAGTCCTAGAATGCAGAATTCTGTAAACTGAGGGCCAAAATATCTGAAGGACCCATCCCTATTGACCATTTCTGCTTTGGGAGGTAAGGAATGGAAATGTATAATCTTTCAACAAATTCAGTTATCCACAAGAATTTACTGGCCAAAATCTTATTCATTGTCTGAAGTTAAGATTATCACAAGTTAAGAACTCACTGTAGGCATTTCCTGTTAGATGCTAAAGCAACGGGTGTGCTCTAGGAAATATCTGTGCCAGCTTCTTAACTTGGGACAGCTTACTGCCAAAAGTTATTCCACTAGATCCATGCCAGCAGGTATGACAAATAGGATTTTGGCCATTATTAGGATGAGGTTTGATGTTTCTCACAATACTGCAGTTGCAGCTGTGTTCTGTGATTGTTTGATTTTATTTAGTGTTTATTGCCAGAGTTGGTTGACAATGTGAATCATTGCATAAGTGTTGAAATTCTGTGTGATTTTGTTACGAAGTGTATCTTAATTTTAATAGAATAAATGTCTCTTTGGTGGGATATACTGTATTTTTTGCTCCACAAGATGAACTCCCCCCCCAAAAAAAAAGTGGGGGAGAAGTCTGTGCGTCTTATGGAGCAAAAAATACAGTAACATTAATTTAAATTAATGTTACTGTATTTTTTGCTCCACAAGATGAACTCCCCCCCCAAAAAAAAAGTGGGGGAGAAGTCTGTGCGTCTTATGGAGCAAAAAATACAGTAACATTAATTTAAATTAATGTTACTGTATTTTTTGCTCCACAAGATGAACTCCCCCCCCAAAAAAAAAGTGGGGGAGAAGTCTGTGCGTCTTATGGAGCAAAAAATACAGTAACATTAATTTAAATTAATGTTACTGTATTTTTTGCTCCACAAGATGAACTCCCCCCCCAAAAAAAAAGTGGGGGAGAAGTCTGTGCGTCTTATGGAGCAAAAAATACAGTAACATTAATTTAAATTAATGTTACTGTATTTTTTGCTCCACAAGATGAACTCCCCCCCCAAAAAAAAAGTGGGGGAGAAGTCTGTGCGTCTTATGGAGCAAAAAATACAGTAACATTAATTTAAATTAATGTTACTGTATTTTTTGCTCCATAAGACGCACAGACTTCTCCCCCACTTTTTTTTGGGGGGGGAGTTCATCTTATGGAGCAAAAAATACAGTAACATTAATTTAAATTAATTAAATAATATAGATAAATGTTTGTAAGTGGAACTATGAAAGTAAAGTAAGCAGTGACCCAAGTACATACTTAAAAGACTGTCTATATCTGTTTATATGTGCTTGGCCACTGGAGTCATCTTCAGTGCTTCCACCTTTTGAGTTGTGGCAGGTGGCCTGTGTGGAGAGGACCTCCTGCATGGTGGGTATGAAATCTTTTAATTAAGACACTGATCATAGTATGTATAGGTATACGTACCATGCACGTTGTATATGTAAGATGTATAACATTTCTGAAAATTGATTTTGAAACCTAGGACACAAGTTGACAGACCCCGAGAAAAGGGAGCTACTTGTAACGGCAGCATCTCTATATGTGGCTGTACAACTCAGGTCACAAAGGTTTCTGGGAACTCCAAGGTAAGCTCATTTGTAGAAATTAAGAATATCTTTTCATAATGAACTGTAGATTCTTAAGGACTGGAAATGTTTCTGTTTCTTAATTCTGAAGATGAAATCAGGTTTCTATGAATATCGTATCCTTGAATTGTCCAGGGTAAATATCTAAATATCTAAAACAAAAACAATTTAAAAAATTTTTAAATGGCCAACCCAGTTTGTCAGACAAAAACTTGTGTTGATCAAATCACAGTCTATTACACCAAATCAAAAACTGCTGGAGAATTTCAGCCATGTATAGTACTGTCAAAGGAATCTCCTGTTCATAGAAATAACTGTTGGCCTTGGACCAAATGCCCATTCAGCTATGATGCTCTCAGGGCTAGTCATGATTTCTTGACTTAACCTGCTTTATGTGAAATTGTGAAAATAAGACGGTGTGGGTGAGGACAATATACCCTGCTTTTAATTTTTTGGCAGAGAGAGTATAGATGTGTGTAAACCTATAAATGTGTCTAATTAAGTTTAGTTAGAAGTTGCAGCTGGTATATTGTACAGATGGGCTGAACATTGTTGGTATTAGTAGACATGTATTTGAATATAAGTAAGTAAGCAAGGACTGTATGAACATTTGTCTTCTGGTTAATTATAATAGGTTATGCTTTATCCTGTGTAGCACCCAGATACCAAACATTTTGTACATTTGAATTTTCAGAAGTGTAAGTTATGTTGCATTAGGAGTCCATAGTTTGCTACAGAATGAAACAGCAAACCCTGTCTTCTCATCCACCCCACAAATCTTTTGTGGAGGCAGATCTGAGAGTCATGTGAGGGGCTATAGGCCTTGGGGGAATACATTCAACCAATTGTGTCTTTTCTGCACTATTAGACACTGTACAGTTTCTTCAGTGTGTCTTCAATAGCAATTATTTTTTGTAACATTTTTGTCTGAGTATGGTTTTTGAAGAACTTAGTGGAATATAGATATATGTAAACAAAGAGATAAATAAAATATTCATGCATTTGTATTCGTGAAGGCATTCACGGCTTGGGTTATAATGGTTGTTGTGGGTTTTTTTGAGCTCTTTGGCCGTGTTCTGAAGGTTGTTCCTCCTAACGTTTCGTCTGTCTCTGTGGCCGGGGGGTTTTTGTGGGAGACACCAGGGGAGAGC